CGACTTTCTCCTATTCTTTGAAAATGTTCATACTTAGATGTATATGGTCTCCATTTTCACTCCAAGTCTTGCAATTATCCATTTGGTAGCATAGCCTCTCAGTCTGTGATCTCCTCAACTTGAATCTATCTGGAATTTATTTTTGTATGTGATGTGAAGTAGAGCTGCATTCTTGAGGATCTACTGATGGAGAATCAGTGGTGGTAACTTAACCTTTTGAAGAATGACAGATTGTAAAATATGTAAATTTTCTTATATGTTGATTGGGTTTAAGAAGATACGGGATAATAAAAATTCTTGTGAGCTTATGTTTAAAATGTTTTATAGTAATGAATGAGAAGGAGAGTCATACCTAAAGTTGTGATGTCTGGCTATATCATGATATTGATTCAAAGAAAGAGATCTTGCATCTTTATAAAGCTGTTATACTACTGTGGTATAGCGGAAAGAGCATTGGCTAGATTGAGTCCCGGCTCTACCATTTGTAAATTACTTGTTTTTTCTTTTCTTTTTTTTTAATTGCAGAGTGATGAGAGTAATTCCTAATTCATATACTGTATTAGCATGCTAATTTTTTTCAGAAACATAAAAAAAATTGGCATAGCAGCTCTTATGAAAATACTTCGGAGGGGGGAGGGAGCGGCTGGAAAACAAACAGAAAGCATGCGTTATTTGTGTAAAAATATGGTAGTTGTTGAGCCAATAAAATGTGATTATATATTTGTGTGTGCATATTTTATAAACTTTGAAGGACTTTGATGTTTAAGATCTAATAAAAATTAGGGAATCATTTTCTTGAAGATGGGTCATAAGTTTGCTCTGGAACCATCACATTGTCTCCATAAAAACTTAGATTTCCTCATAGTCTGTTTTGTGTAGGAAACAATTTTTTAAAAAAACTTTTACCTGTGGTACATCAAGCTGAATGATAGAGAGAAGGACTCTATTGTACATTATTCTACAAAACTGTTGTAGGTCTAAGGAAAAACAGTTTAACTGTTATTTCTTATGACTCTATTCTTGATATTATATTGTTAATATTACATTTTTAATATTTCATTTTCAGTTATATGATGTTGATTGATGGCACAAATGAAGTTTTTATGATTGATAGAGATAATTCAGTGTTTCATGTTTCAAATCTGGAATTTCCATTTCGTAAAGATCTTCGAATGCATTTATCAAATACTCTCTTGGATGGGGTAAGTCATATTTTATGTTTTTTAAAAAAATTAATGCCATTTTTCTTTCCCCTGCAAATAAATGTATATTTTTATTAGTTAAATAGGGAATTTAGAGATGAAACCAGTTTTTACTAGAGTGCTAAATTTTATCTATTTCTTACGTGTACTTATGAATTAATATCCTTATTAATAGGGGTTTGACAGCTTAATCTTTGAACCTAAATATATATTTTGAGATGTTTTCTTTAGTAAGAAAATTGTTAAAGCTATAGAAAGGAAGTTCAATGAATTTAGTATTGATCATTGTCACCCCACGAGAGTAAATGAACAGAATTAAATCTTAGTTGCTTTTGTTTTCTTTGTAATTGAAAAAATAATTCTTACTGAAGAAGACTAATTTCACTGGATTATTTTACTTGTCAGTTGAATTTTAATTCTGTGATACTACACATCACATTTTCATTGGCTCTTTAGCTATGTGGACTGATAGTTCTTGTTTAAAGAGAATTGTGCCTTCGAAGGCAACATTTTTACTTTTACATTTGAATTTTTAAGCCGTTAAGAATTTTCCCGTTCTGGAAAATCTGTATTTATAGAATGATAAAATTACTTGATTAAAAATGTTTTAACTTTCCAACTAGATGGTGCCCAGCCACCACCACTGACTGCTCTGTCAGGGATCACGATAGAGGGTCCTGGATAGAGCTGGAGAAAAATTTAGAACAAAATTCTAACTCACAAAGAAAAAACAGACTTACTGGTCTGAAAGACACTGGAGAAACCCTGAGAGTATGGCCCCCGGCTACCCTTTTAACTCAGTACTGAAGTCACTCCTGAGGTTCACCCTTC